CGGGGGGCTGCGGGCGTGACAGTCCGCTGCTGCGCCATCAGAAGCGGAGAGCTTTGCTCTTCGTCCCTTGTGCCGTGGGCCTCGGCCAGAGGGCTCTTGTGAGGGCTGGAGCGGTGGTGCTGAACGTTTCTGCGAACAGCCCTTCACTGTGCGGGTGATGGAGCGCTGGCACAGGCTGCCCAGAGAGGTTGTGGAGTCTCCTTCTCTGGAGACTTCCAAAACCTGCCTGGATGTGTTGTTGTGTGGCTGCCCTAGGGGATCCTGCTCTGGCAGGGGGATTGGACTAGATGATCTCTAGAGGTCCCTTCCAGCCCCTAACGTTCTCTGATTCTATGCTGCACATTGCTACGGGCATAATAAAATCTGTATCGTGGTAGTTGGTTGCTGACAAGCAAGGAAATGTAGTGGTATCATCAAATACTGGAGGGTCATCTCTGAATTTTTGTGTTGGTATAAAATGGGGAGGAGGAGCCCATGCTTTTGATTATTTCAGTTTATGGAGAAACTTGTTTTTCCCCAACAGGTTTATACACTTGGCAATAGCGCAGTTGAGATCCGATGGTAACCTGACATTTCCATTTCAGACAAGTACGTTAAAAATAAGCATCCAGCCTTAAACTGTTCATTTGCTGCAGCAAATGTGCACGTTTTCTTCTTGTGGGAAAAAGCATTGCAACATCAAATATCTTAGTCCTGAATCTGCCAGTTTTATGGAGGTGCCTCTGATGAAAGTACTTCTCAAGTTGGTTTTGCTTGTTCTCTTTCCTGATTTTTTGATGGATTCCAGAGTGGTTTCTCTAATGTGACCGTACTGTTTAGTAGTGAAACAGAATGGTTAACAGAATATAAACTCTTCTGGTTTTTTGTTATGCTTTCCATGAATGTGTTTGATAATATTAAAATGTTAGTAGTGGTCAAGGTGCTTTGTTGTTTATTTGGGTGTGAATTTGCTGTTGATTAAGCTAAACTAGTATTGGTACTGGAAACTTTTCTAATAATCTCTGTATCATAGACTTGCTTAAATTGTTAGGCAGGAAGAGTGCTTCAAATACAGATGTGAGGAAGCAGGGAAATGTTCCTTTCATAGAATCACAAAATGGTTTGGGTTGGAAGCGACCTTAAAGATCATCTCCTTCCGATCCCCCTGCCATGGGCAGGAACACCTCACACTAGACCAGGTTACTTAAAGCCCCATCCAGCCTGGACTTGCACAAAGCCCCCCCCCAGCCTGCCTTTCCCCCCGGCCGGGGGGGGGCCAGCCACAACTTCCCTGGGCAACCTGTGCCAGTGTCTTACCACCCTCATAGTAAAGAATTTCTTCCTAGTATCTAGTCTAAGTCTAGTCTATCTCACTTTAAAACTATTACCACTTGTTCTGTCATGACATGCCCTTGTAAAAAGTCCATCTCCATCTCCTGCAGGCCTCCTTCAGGTACTGAAATTCTGATGTAAGGTCTTGCTGGAGCCTTCTTTTTTCCAGGCTGAACAGACCTAACTTTCTCAGCCTGTCCTCATAGGAGAGGTGCTCCAGCCCTCTGATCATCTTTATGGCTCTCCTCTGGACTCGCTCCAACAGATGCGTGTCTGTCTTTTGTGTCGGGGGCTCCAGGACTGAAAGCAGTACTCAAGGTAGGGTCTCACAAGAGTGGAATAGAGGGGGAGAATCACCTCCCTAGACCTGCTGGCCACGCTTTTCGTGATGCAGCACAGGATATGGTTTGCTTTCTGGGCTGCGAGCACACATTGCTGAGTCAGGTTGAGCTTCTTGTCAGCTAACACCCTCAAGTCCTTCTCCTCAATCCGTTCTCTGCCCAGCCTGTATTTGTGCTTGGGATTGTCCTGATTATTGCGTAGGACAATATTGTGACTTGCACTTGGCCTTTCTGAACTTCATGAGGTTTGCACAGCCCTCCCTCTCAAGCCTGTCCAGGTCCCTCTGGATGGCATCCCTTCCCTCCAGTGTGTCAAAAGCACCACACAACTTGGTCTGGAGCTTTTATATAAGAGCAGTGCCTTACCTTGTATCCACATGCAGCAGTGAGGCAGAGTCATGCATGTTTGTTTCTGATTTCACAAGAATGAAGTCTCCGGTATGCTCTCAGCTGTATTTCTTAATGTATTTCATATTACATCATATAAAGATTTTTATGCTGAGGGTGGTGAAATGCTGGAACAGGTTGCCCAGAGAAGTGGTACATGCCCCATCCCTGATAGCCTTCAAGGTCGGTTTGGGTGGAGCTCTGAGCAACCTGATCCAGTTAAATATGTCCCTGCTCACTGCAGAGGTGTTGAACTAGATGACTTTTAAAGGTCCCTTCCAACCCAAACCATTCTATGATTAAAGAGGATGGTGTTCAAAATCTCTATCTGGAGAGTATTAGATGTTTAAACTCTGAGGACTCAGGAATACCTTTAAAAGCTATTAATTCACAATGCTTTTGTGAATTCAACTTTCTTTTTTTTCTTTTTGTGTACCATAAGCATGTATATTGTAACACTCTTGAGACAGTCTGAATGTCAAAAATCAACAGTGTGAAAAACAGGAAAAGTTGTACCTGTTTAATTAAAACGTAGTGAATTTCCTCGCTGTTTAAGTGAGAAGGGATTTGGCTTTTGAGTTAAATCAAAATAAAACCAAAACATTTTCTGAGAATAATGAAGGAAAAGCTTGATGGAACTTAATTTTTCATTGGGAAGTCCTTTAAAATAAAATGGTACTGTGGTAAATTGATGCTGTTGTAGAGGAAAGAGCACGTGTAGATTCACAAAATAGAGGTAAACCTCTAATTCTCTAAACAGGTCTTCAGGTGACAGGATGCTGAAATGGATTTGATTTCTGATTTAAAGCAGAACTGGTAATACCAAAACCGTTGCAGAAACACAAGTATTGCTACTGGTGCCATGTCAATGGACTACTGACTATAAACTCAGATAGTAACTGAGCCATTTGCACAATCAAGGTACAAGACTGATTTCCAAAGTTATTCAGTATTTTTTCCACTGCCTTCCATTAAAGGTGTTCATATACTTGTAGTGTGAAAATCAAGCCATTAATCCCTGTGTTGAACAGTCATCTATTATGTTATAAAGCTTTTAATTTTGTCTACACTTGTTTTTCTAGCAATGCATACCTTTCAATATTTTTCACTATCAATCTGAAATTTTTTAAGTCTTATATATGAAAACCTTTTGATAGTTACAGTTTTCACTGACTCTCCAACCTAAATGATTCTGTGACTCTCTTATAGATCGCAAAGTGAATGGGCACTTATGTCCAGTTTGTTGATGGCAAGAAAACTGGTTCAAACTGTTTAAAGGCCAGGACAGCACAACAAGCTATCAGCAAGAGCAGAAAACTAACTATTCAGTTTCCAAGCTGCTTTTCTCTGATTGTAGTATTTCATTGCATTTCTCAGTGTTGCGTTTTAGAATGCTGGTTTTGTTCTTTGTCTTTCAGACTGCTGAGTTTCAGAGATCAGCCATGGGCATTAAGGGTTTGCAAGGATTTGTGGCGAGAGTTTGCCCTGATGCATGCAGAATGGTAGATCTGAAAGAGACGGCAGAAAGACATCGCATCAATCATCCTGATTTCCCGCCCGTTATTGTAGTAGATGCCATGAATTGTGTTAGGTACTGGTACACACCAGAATTCTGGGTGTGTGGTGGCCAGTGGCGGGAGTACCTTGCCAATTTAGAGGACTTTATTAAAGCTTTTATGGCAGCTGGTATCGAGTTGGTGTTTTACTTTGATGGAGTGGTAGAGGAGAAGAAGAGAGATGAGTGGATCAAACGGAGGTGCCAGAATAACAAGGAGATAGCCAGAATATTTCAATTTATCAAGACTCACAGGAGACAACCAGGGAGAGAAATGTTCACTATTCCTTCAGCTTTGCCTACTTTTACACGTTATGCCCTCAAGTCGCTTGGTCAAAAAACAGTGTGCACGTTGAGAGAGGCAGACTTTGAGGTGGCTGCATATGGTTTGCAACACAACTGCATAGGAATTCTTGGGCAAGATAGTGACTACCTCATCTATAATACATGCCCCTACTTTTCCATTGAGAAGCTCCGTTTGGACAGACTGGTCACCATTATGTACTCTAGAGAAGATCTTTGCCGCACGTTGGGTCTTAGTTTGATGCACCTCCCTCTCTTTGCTTCCTTACTTGGCAATGATGTTGTTCCAGAGAGCTTGTTGGAAGACTTCTGGCATAAATGTTTAGTCACCAGTCCCCATAAGAATAACAGCTACAGCAGAAGAGCAAACATACTTCTAGCTGTAGCAAATTACATCTCAAAAGTTCCATGCTCATACAGCAGCCTGAAACACTTGGAAGAGACACTACCTTTGGGATCAGACAAGACATTACTTTACAGAGGAGTGGAGTCCTATCTTCTGCCCGGGCAGCAGTCTCCATGGATTCCTTCCAACTTAAGAAATTCCCAAGTGGTCTGCCTTCAGCAACAAACAACCTTGTGTCAAGATCAAGAAATCTTTCAGGTACCTTGTTTTTCAAAGCTTAATAGTCACTTCATTGCCATGACTACTTAGTGGAAATTGGTAACTAGTACACTGAACCTATTGATTTAAATTGGCTTGAGCAAAATCTTTTGTCTTTCAAGTACAGCCACAGTTAGCACAATTACGTGCATCATGATGCAGGCAGGTGCAGCACATTTAGTTAAAAGCACTTTCTCTCTTTCTGAAGCGTCAAGCAGGTCAAATAACAGGGAACAACTTCTGTATAGGCCTACAGCTGGGCACAGAGACGTGCTTCCCATGTATTGTATGATGTGATGACATGCTTTTTCCTTTGAGAACCCATGTCAGCTAAAGCCGGTTAGTGATCTGTCTGGCTGTGCCTGGCACATGCAGTCAAGGTACCAGAGTGAGCTGGGCTAAGAGTACAGAAGTTGAAATTGCTCTTGTGGAGGAGGTGAAGGAACTTCCTGTAAATCTATATTTCATTATTTTTGGATCAGGTTAATTATCTTTCAGATTCATTGTCCCTAAATGAACCAAAAGCACTTGCAATGGCCTATTAATCCTTAAAGAGTGGGGCTGCACTAGCAAGTTTCACTTATGGCTTCCCACATGGGCAGAGATGCGCTGGTGTCTGGGTGCAAAATGGTACGTCACATTGGATATATTAGCTAGGGTAGCCTACCTGGATAATAGAAACGGACTTACCTGGCATCAGAGTTTATGCTGTAGTAGTAAGTCTGGGCCACAATTCTGTAAATTCGTGGCAATTAAGAAAAAATATTGAGATTTAATTACAAAAAATCTGTATGAGGTAGTGTATTTTAGACCCTATATTAGCCATCTGTTACTCCCTGTTTTGTTAAGGTACCTGTAGACTTTCAATAGAGAGCCTTTTTTGTTTGTCTCACTTATCTTAAGCATTTTCTTTAAAACTATATTTCTGTTTCCTCCTATTACTCTAAAGTAATCCTACAATTTACATTTTCCTTTTCCAAAAAGACTTTAAAACATTTTAAAGCTATATTTTAACCTATACAATGCTCATTTCAGCTAAACTGCAGATGTATTTGTTTGGTTTTTTAATTAACCACACATAGATACAGGACATGTAATTTTTGACGGTAGCAGTTAAATAGAAGATGTTATTAAAAAAAACCCCACAGAACAGCAACCCTACACCCTACTGAAGTAGGACTGAAAAATATTGTTTATCCTTGAAGCACAAAGGAAAATTAGCCAGAATATAATTATCTAGGTTAGATTATTGCCAGGAAAATAGTGGTAATATCCTTACTCCTTAAGAGAATGTACCACGTGGTCTTTATGACAAGTGGTCATTATTTCTCTGCTTGATCTTTCATTTGTAGGGTTGCAGTTTTCTAGTGTCGTGCTGAGCCACTGCTGTAATAAAATCACAGAATCACAGAATGTTAGCATCGGAAGGGACCTCTGGAGATCATTGAGTCCAAGCCCCCTGGCCAGAGCAGGACCATGGAATCTAGGCCAGATCACACAGAATAATGTTTAATATTAATAATAATGTTTAGAAACTCTCTTGAAGGATGTCTCACTGTTGCTGCATAGGTCCTATGTCAAACCAATCCTTGGGCCAAGGAAATTACAAAGTCATAGACATGTTAACTTGTTTTTTGGGGTTTTTTACAGGTGTTTAAGTATTTGCATATGTAATGTATGTGCTTTGCTTCGTATTTGGAAACCCATGTGTAGTTCTGCTTAGCTGCACATAATCTGAACTGCACATAAAAGACATACACAGCTCAGTTCCAACCTTGAGGACATAGCTTCATGTTGCTGCTTAACTTTTTAGCTGACTGTAGGATAACTTAAAAATATTTTTCAAGACACAACATTGAATACAGCAATATATTTGAAATCAGCATCTATTTTTTTCAGTATATAAGGATGTGATTATTAGCCAGTTGCAAGAAACAAGTATTTTCAGATGATCTTGTATCTATGTCAGTGGTTTGTATGAAATACTCAATGCTTCATTTGAATCGTGCTTAGACATACTTAACTCTAGGGTTTGTTTGTTTTTCTTTTATACAAAAGTAGATCTGGGGGATTACATTGTTTATGGATATTAAGCATACTGAAGTATTTCTTCCAGGACAATAGTTATTTTATTGTTTTAAGAAAAGGCTCTGTCAGTTGGCATTACACGCAGAAGCCTATCATTGATTTTATGCTTGTGTGAGAATTTCTTCTGAAAGTATGGCATTGCAGTAGAATTAGTTTTGATCAGGAATGACCCAGAGATTCACTGCAGCTTTGCAGAGTTGCCAGGTTTGCAGATACTGGAATTCTGCAGAAATGATGTATTTGGTTCTGGCCAGTGGTCTGGTAGTTCCCAGGGAAAAAGGCTGAGATGACTGTGTGGCCGGCACAGCCTGAATAATACAGATAGCGCGATGCAGGCAGGGAATGCAGAGCCAAGCAACTTCAGTGTCTGCTCACCATGCGGCCTGGGCCCCGGGGAATTTATTTGTGACACCCCGTAGAAATAATCAGCTCTGCTCAGCTGTTTGAACACCCACATAGTTTTGATCTGAGGTTGTTGAAGCAGAAGTTCTGGCTGGCTCTGCCCTTGGCCGGTCCGGGTTACAGGTGTTACAGGTTGAAATTCTGGGCTGCCTCAGAGCAGTTTTGTTACTTCTGCATCAAAGCTGCTCCGGACCAGTGGTCCCTGTTGGTGCTGAGCCTGCTTGGCTGCTTGAGCCACGTATATGGGCACCCCACGCGTAGTTAATACACAGCCTGGGTGATGCTGTGATTCTGCCTTGCGGCATCAAACCTGTACACCTACTTTTCCTCACTAGAGTAGATTGTATGTCTTTCCTTGGGGAAGAGCTATTGCAAAGTAAAAGTGTGATGAAGTTAAGTATTCTAATTTCACTACAAGGTAAGCCGCACAAAGCCAGCTCAGGAAAGAAATGGAGCTATCTGATGTAGTTTGTCTTGCAATAAAATTAAACATTTGGGTTTTGTCATGCCTTCACTCACTATTTAAAGAGGGAAGATGTATTTTCAGATGACTGAAGGACAGCTCATTTTTCTATGACAGAATTTAGAATTAATTTTAATAATAATTATTCTCTAAAAAACTCTCATTAAATCTCCCAAGTTTTAAGAATTCAAGGAAGGGCTAAGAAAGGCAATGGCAGATTTTCTGGGGATTTCTGTCAACAAAAAGACAGATGTCTTAAAATATACTGTACTTAAAATATACTGTACTGGTGTTATTTGAAAAAGCACTTGCTCCTTCCGCAGCCATTCCCTCCATTTCCACTGACTGAGAAAATACTGTGTCCTCGAACAGTGAGTGTATTGTGTTACTTTTTGGTCATTCCTAATTTTGAAAATAATACCTTCTTTCTTCTTCGAATAGTTAGCTAAAGAACAACATATCCAATCCGAAAATTATACAATCTTCAACATCTTAAGTAACGGAGAGCTTGAATGTAGCAACTCTTTGGAAGATTACTGTGATACAGAGATTCCTGGACAGGCACTTATCTACCGCCCTGCTCGTCAGCATATTTATTCTGTCTTGTTGGAATCTGAAAAAGGTAAGGATTAAACTACTTACACCATTATTCAAGTATACTCTCTATTTTAAAATATGAACTCTTGAATTCATTGTTTCAGTGGCTACATCAGCATGGCATTTAGGATAAAAACCATGGGCAGATGAAGTGTACTTCTTAAGGAATCAAGAGAAAATGTGACAATGAAATTGCAGTTTTTCTACATACTGTTCAATTTCAGTGCTTTTAAAGAGATTCTTAAAAATTGATTAGTTTGTTGTGTTTTTTTTTTACTTGTTAAATATGTTAATCATCAAAAGATTGAGCAAAACAATGACATTTAGAAGATTTTAAAAGTTTGAGAGGATATGAAACCTGATGTTGCTTTGGTAAGCGTAGCTCTTGATGAATTAGTGTATTATAATACGCTTGTGCAAAACAGTAATGCACTGTTACAGTTTTACATTTTGTTGATTTTAAGTCTGAAATTTTAAGAACTATGGATAGTCAGATATAGTTCCTGTAGTAATACAAATGCAAGAAGCAATGCCAGTCACTATTAGTTCTTTCATCAAAGTGCAAGAAGATATAATTTTTTTTATCCAGTGATATAAACAGATTCTGTAGCAGATATATATATCTGTGCTTCCATTCTTCTGCTTTAAGAGAGACAATTCTTTATTCACATCCTTTGACAAATTTTGTGTTATCTTTAACAGTGTCTTTTAGGCAGTGATTTTAAAATTTAAAATGTATTGAGGTTTTATTCTTTTTAATATCTTGATTTCTCCTTGGTAATCACTTTGCATTTTATTGATGAAAGTGCACTGCCATCAAACCTAATGCTCAAACTATGTGCTTAGAAAGGCACAGAAAGTTAATTGTGTGCCTAACTTCCTTCAGCAACTAGAGGTTGAAGTTGTGGCATGATAGGAAAAAAAAATAGGAAAAACTGAATCAGAGTTTACACAGTCACTTGGAGAAAGTAAAAAAAATCTCAGCAGTAATCATGCACATCTGTCATTTGTCATTTTTCAGGCTACTGCCTCTAGATTTTGTAGACAATTATAACTTGGTTGGATTTTGTTTATTCCTCTAAGCAGCAGGGTATTCATTGATGTTTTAAGGAATATCCAGACCAAAACTTCTGATTAACAATTCTTGCTGCGAGATGGCAGGGCACTAGGCAGATTTGCGTTTGTGTTACAGTGTTTGTAGTACTTGGATGAAGAAAATTAGAATTTAAATACAGAAACATTAATTTAGAATCTTATTGAAAATTAAATTTGAATGTGAAAGAAGTCTTTTAAGTAAGGAATTTTAGAATAAAACCACAGATAAGTGTGCATTATTTGTTCTCAGTTCATGCTTCAAATTCCAGAGATGATTTTCTACAGTAAATCATAGTGCACCCTCAGTCCACCTTTCCAGGAAGTTAGGGTATGAGTGTGTCTGCATGGGCACCCCTGTTAATTCTACATTTTTAGTGCATGTATCTACCTCTGACTGCTTTAACAGTGTCACAGAATCATAGAATGGCCTAAGCTGGAAGGGACCTTGGAGATCATTTTAATCCGGCCTCCCTGTCGCCAGGGACGCCACCTCTCGACTAGATCAGGCAACACATGGGGACCAAACAGGAATCGAACCTGTAACCTTAGCGTTGTTAGCGCTGTGCTCAACTGACTGAGCTAACCGGCCCCCTTGGTCTTTTATTACAGTGTGTATCATTGCTTCTAAACCAAGACTGTAGATCATTAATCAGAATCTGTGTGGGAGTTCATAAATGAATATATGCATTATTTTTTATGAATTTGCTGCTAGACCTACAAAGAAAGCTTTACAGAGTGAGTAGAATCCTTTGCCAGTTTCCCTCAGATAAAGGTCAGCTTGAGAGGTTTTTGTAATTTGATGAGGGGCAGGATGGGAAGAAGTAAGCTACACCGAATGTAGGTGGACTGTAATGTAAAATTACTTTGGATTAACGTTAAGCAAGAGCATATTGGAAGGAGTCAACCAAGTCAATCAGTCCCTATGGAGTGTGCTGCCATTATGATACAGTTGCTGATGTAGCTCATTTGAAGCTAACTGGGCTAGAGTTTGCAGTGGAGATGTATTAGTAAGTGTATTAGTGAGTCTCTTTTTTTATTCTTTAAAATCCCTCGATTACAAGATTGTTGTGTTGGAAACTGACCTCTTTGCAGTTTGCAAGTCTACTTATTTACTGTTAAATAGGGATAGCAAAGCAGCCAATATTTAGTAAAAGCAGTGATTACAGTTTTAGTAAGAACAGGTTAAAAATGATGTAAACTGTTTCCTCTACCCTGAAAAAGGAAGCTGTTAGTTTTGAATGTCTAAGTTGAGATTTCCAAGGGTGCCTAAGAGACCCGAGAATCCATAGTACTTGGATGTTGTCATATCATTTGAAATCACCTGCTGAGACCATACCACTTTGCCTGAAGCCATAGCATGATAAGTGTTTCTTTAGCTGTTAGTGCCAGTTTAAGGAATTCTCTTGCACAGCCCCTCATTTTGGTCCCTGTGCAACCTCACCATTGAGCTGGTGCAGCTGTTTGTGCAGCTGCATGGTGGCCTATTTTGAGAAACTGAGAAGAGCCTTCTCTCTTTTCGCTCCCTTTCTTGCAGTCAGGTAACTAACCAGGTTCTGTTTCCTCTCTGGCTCTTTGTGTAGCCACAGACAGCTGTGGCAAAACAGTCCAAGGGAATGTCAGGGAGTGGGAATGAGCAGGTCAGCGGTCGTCTGTGAAAGCTAGCAGTACTGCTGAAAGAATTGCTTATGTAGCTCTGCCTTTGGAGTAGTTTGGTACGAGGTAAGCATGTGCGTACCTTTACTCGTGGTGCCTTGGGTTTGACCCTACAAAAATAAATAAGGTGTTGATGGTGATCCCGATAACCTGACATTTGTTGTCTAGGTGTTTTTAAAGTAACTTTATAATTAATTGAGCTATTTCTCATCATTATGTGGTCTGTTGCATGTAGCGATACATAAACTGCCAACTTTTAGTGTCTTTCCTAGAAAAACAGTATTGTTGGAAAAATTCAAGGAGGGGAAAATAACAGCAAATAACGCACCTTCATAGACCAGCCAAGCTCTTTTCTGTGTGAATAGTTCAGATCAAAGCTGGAAGGTTTTGGCACTAGCGTGGTCCATGGAAATACCTGCACCTGCATGACTGTTGCCGATTAGGAGTTTATGTAATGTAGCCTAAGCCCGTGGCCAGCTCCTGGAAGTCCTGGCATCACTCCCAGTTCTAACATTAGCAGGCCAGACTGATCCTTGCTTTGACACTGTCAAAAACAATCCATTAGGAAAACTTTTGCCAGTTATCACCAGTGACTACTCAGGAGGGCTGACATTGCATTGTAGAACAACACATATAACAGCGTTTCCAACTGTCTCTCATGTTTTGGTGTTTTGCACATAGTTGAAATTTTCCTTAAACTGCCTAGGCAGTGTTTTCACAGGTTGTTCAGAATCTATTTAAACAAAGGAACTTTGATTTTTTTAATTTCACTGGTGGGGAAAAAAATTTGAAAAATTGCTGTTTTTTTTTTTTCCAGAGATATTTCCGTGCAGGGAGGGTTGGCATTTAGTTATCATGTCTCCATTTTGTTCTTGGTATGTTACTGTGCTGTCACTTTGCTGGACCTTGCTTCCTTGGAAACTTATATGAACTATTAGTAGTATATTTTTGTTATATACTTTTGTTATTAATGGACTATAATAGTGAAAAGCACTCAACTGAAGTAGTGTTACATCCTGTAACAAGAACAAATCTAGAGGTTTCCTCATGAGTTCTCTTTTTACTGTGCTTGAGCTCATTGAGTAATACAAAAATAGTATTTCACTGGCATTTGGAATTGAGAGACATCTTGGTAAGTCGTTCAGTGAATTGTGGATCTCATAAAGAATGACTCTCCTCACCAGCTTCCCCTCAGCAAAGCTTTAATATTTCCATGCTTCTTCCTTGCATCCTCTTAACTTCTCCCCATGACCTTGAAATCTCCCTCCTGCAATATATGGTGCTCTCAGAGCCTCCTGCTCTCCCCAAATCCCATGTATGTTTTTATTCAGCTCTAGCTCTTCTGCAGTTATTTGTGTATTGCTTTGCCATCCAGTCCATTCGGATACAACAAGTAACTTGACTTTCCTGCCTTTCTTTCAGTTGGTGCCCTGACAGGATCCCACTGTCAGCTGGGTCACCAGTTTCACAAAACATTTAGGGATTTAATACTTTCGAAATCTTCTCAGTCAGGTTTAGTTGAAACTGAACAGTGCATCCATGAATTAATTATAAGATAGATGTCCTAATTGTGTTAAGCTTGCTTCCTTAAGAAGCCAGGCTAAAATTTGGGAGGGTAAGCTGAACAGATGGAATAAAGCAGAGTAATTTACATAATAAATCTTAAAATAGAATACTAAAACATCAGAATGTTTCTGAAAATTACTTTGGGATATTAAATTGGAGGGATTTGTTCATGAAATAGCATTATCATATGCAATAGTTTGTAGTTAGTGAGACTATTCAACTACTGGAATGTGCAATTTAAGTTTGTTTTTTTTTGGTCTCCCAGTGTAGGAATTTTTCATTTTATTCTTGATGTAATAATTTTTTTGAACAGTGCACGACAAGCCAGGTGCAATACTGTCCCTCACAGTGCAGCTGTTGGTTCTTCAGTCTCTCCCTCTGTTTTATTGGGAGTTTGTGCTGCAGGTGCATGGATAAGGAAGAAAGAAGCAGCAAGGCTGTAAAACACATTTTGTCTTGTTCTTTTCCTCCTCTCCTATCCCTGACACTAGAACTACATCTATAGAATTTCTGCCCTTGCATCATAGCACACTACGGGTTCATTCATACCAACAGTTGTTTGTAGCACTGAGCTATGAACGAGATCAAGAAATTAATGTGACTAGACTTTTTGGTGTGGTGGAGAGAAGGGAAGTATTGGAGAGATTTGTCTGGTTTGTTTTAAGCTAAGTGAAGTTTTTGACTAGGGTTCATAATGTGCAGTAAAGTGCAGGATGATTGGAACTGACATCCCCTTGTCACGGGGGAGAAGCTTGCATGCCCTTATGATGTTGCAAGCTGTGCTGGCGGTGGCGTGTGCCTCCGATAGGGTCTCCCGTGCCAGACAGGTCTCAACTGAAGGGTCAGACTAAGTGTGTCCACGGGTAGGATGGGCTCGCTAGCCTCCTGGCAACCATCCTAGGAGAAGGACTCTGAACCTGGGCAAGTGGAGCTCGTTTAGCCCTGTAAGGTCATCCATCTAAGAGAAGGATACTCTAACTAAACCTGTGTCCTGAGGACTTTCTGTCACCGTCCAAGCTCGCTAGGCCCTGGCAGATGAAGCTTAGGAGTAAAGGGTGGGGCCAGTTCTGCGCACGCTGAGCCTCACCAGGAAAATCCATTGCACAGGCTTGAAGGTTACACCCACATTTGTAAAGTGCTGTAGCGACAGGCGAG